ATTTGTGTATTAGCTTGCGATGCTTCATTGGGCCGAGATGCTGTAGGTGTGTTCGATAGTAAACCTCTGCCCATCCTTCAGTTGCGAGCCCTCTGCAGGTGTTTGTGCAGTCTATAGTGGAGTGTGCTTAGTTCAGTGAACGCCTTTTGCAGTTGAGCTCCTCTCAAGTGTGTTTGTGTGTACCTATTTTGTCCCATGCGCTTCACCTGAGTCCTGAAATGCACATGCTATGATATCCATGTATGTTATCCAAGTGACGTGTCTGTCATATGCTTCAAATACGCATCACATCTGGTTCTGTTATGCAGTTGGCGTGTTTGTGCATATCCTTTTTACTTCCCTAGTACCTACACCCTAACGCAACGAACACTCTCCTATCCGCCCACCCCATTACATCCCCTCAGGAGCGTAAGTTTAACTATGCTCGCCTAGATGGCAGCACATCGCAGCAGAAGCGTGTGGCCATCCTCGAGTCCTTTTCCTCAGAGAAAGGAAACATACCCGGTTCACCCGACGTTCTCATTATGTCGCTAAGGGTATGTGGCGATGCGTGTTGTGGCTTTTCAGGGGCTGTTTGTATCTGTGATTGCCTTGCACAGCTATATTGTATCCTATGTGCATGTCAATAGCCTGTTTCTGAGTTCAGAGGCTGCTCTTATATATATATATATATATATGTGTGTGTGTGTGTGTGTTTGTTTGTGTGTATGTATGTATATATGTAAGTATGTATGTATGTATGTACATACAAACCTACATACATACATATATTTATGTATGTATGTTTATATTTATGTATGTATGTATGTACATACAAATATACATACATACATACATACATATATATATATGTGCGTGTGTGTGTGTTTGTGTGTGTGTGTGTATGTATCTATGTATGCAAGAGCAACAGGTTGGGCTTCTTGGCGTTGCCGCTTAGGCTATACGAGCCCCTTTTCCCGGATCTAGAGAATCGTGGCCTTGAAATGCACCTTGGTGGAAGTAGAATGCAATAGCCTCAATTACACATGTGTTAAGTAAATATTTAAATAACTAGAAATGTGTCAAGTATACAATTAAACCAGTAGGATTGATCATCTATGAAGTATATAATCATCCCACTAAACATGTATTCAGTGTACCGCGTGTTCTTTGTTTACTTGCACAGGCTGGCGGCGTGGGTCTGAACCTGACTGAGGCAAACCACGTGTTCATTCTGGACCAGTGGTGGAACTATTACCTTGAGCTACAGTGCATGGACCGAGTTCACCGTATAGGGCAGAAGAGGTATGTAGGAATGCAGGCTTATATTGAGTATAAGAATATACCTGCATACTTGCATAGAACTGGTGCCCACATATGGCATACATTTGATATGGGTGCCAATCCTTGATATTTACTAGTACTGATACACACATTTTTATTTCTAAGTTACAATGTATTTTTTTCTTCGATCAGAAGTTTTAGGGTTAGAACCCCCTAAAAGTGCCCATACAAAACCAACTTAGTGTATGTTCTATGATGAATATCTCGCACCATGCAGTGTTACTTCTGTGCTGATGTTCTGTACCATTTAGTATGATAAAGTGCTTCGACAATGGCTTGGCTGTAGCACTGTCACGTTGCGTAGGTACTGTTAGGTGCCACACCTCGGTAGTGTGAGTCGTAGTAGATGTTTTGTAACGTGTGTGATGCCTTGTACCTGTCTAGTTGGTATGCTCTCCTTGTTCACTTTTTCTCTACTCGTGCCGAGAGTTTTGTATCAAATAGGACACTATCAAACATGGACGAGGCATGCGAGAGGTAAACAGTTATATGCTAGTGGTAGATATGAGCAAGAATTTGTTATATAAAATATGTATATACAGATTAATTTATTGAAGTTGACGACGAAGCTCAAGTGGATGGTTTCACTCGTAACACGTACAGGCCAGTGTTTGTTCAGCGCTACGTGGTGGTCAACACTGTAGAGGAACGAATACTGGAGCTGCAGAAGCGGAAGGTCATGATGGTAGAGGAAACTATGTCCATGGATAACCAGGAACGCAAGGAGATTCGGTTGGAGGAAATAAAGCTGCTGTTCTCGTGAGAGGGGAGCACAGTACGCAATAACGCTAGTAAAGGCTTCAAGAGCCAATGAAAACTTAGAATAAATTAGGTAACACATAGACATACTGAACAATATAAACGATTATATCAAGCATGTTTTGGATTGTATCGCGATTCACTACTTTGGGTATAATACATACATCATCGGGTTGGAAGGTATATTGTTGCTGTCCTTGTGATGGGCGGATGCAATATGACATATCGCTATATAATAGTAGCCTCAATAGCTGGTGAAAAATGGATTCAATTTAGACGATACATGTACTTATAATGGAAAATATATTCGTTCCCCATACGATAAATAACGTAAACAATGTATACGTTTTCCAGGGTATACGTATATGTTTGTTTTGAATGTACAAGCTGTATGTTTTTTCTTTCTTTTCATAAGATGCAAAAACAAATGCAATCGTATATATTGACTTTTACATTTGTCGTTGTGTGTGTGAATGTGTAAGGTATCGTATAAATACAAATATTATTTTTTAGTAAAAATACGTCGTTTGGGTAAATACTAATCAACATATATATTAACTATTCATAATATATTATGTCTTGATTGAGGTAGTGGTTATCCTATATGATTTTGATTCATATTACCCCAGTTCGAATCTGGGATCAAGCTTTTTTCTTTGTGATTTTTTTTTAAATTTATTTATTTTGGGAAATCGCCCTACATGCTGGCTCACTGCTATTTATATACCTCCTATCATCTATGTTTGCTTTATCTATACATTGAAGGGGTGTATCATCATATTCAATAGTGGCTACCTATCTTCTATCTACAACCTCCCTGTAATATCACCCTAGGAAGGAAAAGGGACAAAAGGGAAAGAAAAAGCGCGCACAAGCTCGCGTGTCCATCAATGTCAACAATTAACAAATACAATGTGAATGCACGCACCATGTATGCTATATATGCAGTTTATAAAGCGCGATTTCTCAGCAAATACATACACTATAAGTGTATGTATCCTTGGATTGTATATCAACCTTTCACGATAGAATTTCGCCTTTAGTCGCATGTATAAAAAGTGAATGGGGGTTGCCTCTAGATATGATTGCCAATACCCTCTACTATATATAGCGCTTCTATCTTCTTTCTTCAAGGTCTAGCTAATTGCACTACAGTACCATGGGTATATTCCAATACCATATAGCAGTCTATTCTTGATAAAATTGCTCTTACCGACGATAACAAACAAAAAGAAAACTATTTAGTATTAAAAGTTAGCTGACTCCTCATATATCGTTCAAAAGTAGTTCCGTCTATATTTAGATACGATATTCTTGTATCTTCTCAGTGTCTAAAATATTTATAGGACCGTAAGCCATAAAGTAAATTAAGTAATCAAATTGAATTTACAACACTCTGGATATCGTCAGAAATGTTCATATTATTACATACCATTAATTTTGACTATGATATTTAAGACTGTCCTTAGGCCGTCTTTCTACATGTCCAGACTTTTCAGAGGTTCTTATAATTAGTTCTTATAATTACTTATATTTGAACCAAGTTGGGTTATAATTTACGATCGTGTGGCATTTACCAAAATACTTTTGCGCCAGTACATACATAAGAATTGAATGCATCAGGCATGCCGAGTAACAATTGAATGAATTACATTAACACTGTCTATAAAGCCAATGTTGGCTTTTGAGTAGAGCCTACCGCGATCCATAAGCGCACGAAGGCATTCGAGAGTGCAAGTAAGAGTGCCGGGAGGCGTAGAGCGGCTCAAAATTTTAACCGTGAAGGTGCCCAACCGGACCAGTCAACTATTTCAGTCTGTCAATATATCTTCTAACTCTAATTGGGTTTTTGGAATTTTAGACTTCGGTTTTGTGTATTGTACATCTTATATCTTGCTCTTCATCATTAAGTCTCACGTTATATATCCATCAATCTGTATTTGGTGGTTTTAAATTTCATATGTCCCATACAAATTGTGCCTCATCAGTGATATATATTTGGAAGAAAATTTATCAATCCCACTAAGTGCAGCGTTGTTTTTTAAGATCTTCAACGTTTCGCTCGATATTAACTCATTCACTTGCAACATAGGTATCCCGCTTAAGCATATTCTGCATTGAAAGCAAATTAGTCAGCTTGCTTCTACCTGGTGTACATACACCGATGCCCAGCCTTTTTGAATTCGTGCGTATATTCGGTGTCGAATCCTTACTTCGGTTTTGTGTACTGTGTATATCTTGTAACTTGATCGTCATCACCAGGTCTCAGCTTTTATATTCACCGACTAGGAGGTTTAAAGTTGACAGGCCCCTTGAGCTTATGTTCGGTGTCGAATCCTTTGTGATATATATACATCATCTTTCAAGCTACATTCCCCTGTAACAACTTCAGCCTATAGTTCTCACCATTATGAATATCATTCTTCGTACTCGATCGTATGTATTACAAATGTATGTACCACTGTTGCTCATGACTATACTTCAGTGCAGGGTATGATTATAGTATCTATAGAAAAAACCTTGTGCATCGACATCACACCAAGATCAGTTACGGTAGCATTCTCTGTGAAATACTACCGGTTTTGTACAAGTGTGTAGCGTTACAGGTACACTAAGGTCAGTTAAGAAGGGCTGTCTAGCGGTATATATATCGTTCAGTGCATACGCAACACAAAATTACTCTATCTCGATAAGGCCGCATCTTCAACGTCAAAATGTTTAGCACACTAATATCTTATTATTGCTTTTTCTAAAATGATATTAACTGCAGTCACGCAGACAGATTCTTCTTAGATTCACCATTCTTCTTAAAAGGATCATCAGGCTCGCAATCAGCTTCGTTATCTTCGACCTTCGGACGTTTTTCTACACAATCTGGCCTGATCTTATTACTACAGCAGTGTGTAAGATTGTTAAACCCTCCATCAAAACTCAGCCAGTGAAACCAAATATTTATAGATTTAGTTTCCTTGTCGGTTCAAGACAGAATCTGAGTTCTTAAGTCGAGTTAGCCATTACTACCCCCATTTCATTTTCGTACTCGGCGACGATCAAGGGTGTAACTTTCTCCGGGTATTTTTCCTAAGTAATCTATTCGAATGATTGTGTACTGCTATTGAAGGACAATTTGACTTCATTGAACTATGATTGTTCCCCTGACACCTTGTTCATTGGAGCTTTTTTCCGTCGTTTGCTTGGATTCACTCCTCGTGTATTTTTGTGTGATGTGATATATGTATTTTGTTAATTGATGCACGGCGTGAATCGAAGTAGTTGAGTTAAAAGTAGCAACGGTAGGTTAGAAGTTTTGCCATCATACTGTTTAGAAGAATGTTCGTGCTTATTGACCCAGAGTTTCATTCGTTTGACTTCCCAGAAATTATCGCGTGTTTTAGCTATGTATACATCTCAGCTTCCTATCGTTTTTCAGTCGATCGATATTCGTGTTTGTCAGAGTTTGTTATACACGTTGGTACATCACTTCTTATGTGTCATCTGTACGCCGAGCATTTGAAACTAGAAGAAACTGTGAATGCCATTCCATGCGCGGTGAAAAGTGCTCTATATACATATTGTAGTGGCTTGAGCACTCACTTTCAAAGTGTAAGTCGGCCATATAGAAAAGCTTTGCCTTCACAGTTATATCTCTTCTCTTCCACCACTTCGATATATCACTATCTCTCAAAATGAATCGCATAGTATAAGTAAACACATGCGGAGCTTCTGCAACACAAGCATTGTGATTGCGCAATCGATTGTTGCCCTTGGGCAGTGGTATTTTCATACTGTAGCCGTCGCGACACAGTCGCTCAGCACAGAGGCACTTGTGTACAGTGGCTGCTTCTTGGCTCGTCTGGACTTGATACGTGCAGCGTGACCTATAAAACTTGTTTTGTTCACACACTTAATACACGCACATGTATATTACACGCTTTTTGCAACAGTTTATACGTGTCAATTCGCAGACAAAAAAAATCAGTTCCCTGAGTGCTAGAGTTTATTTTTTTCAAAAATGGTTATGGGTGTTTGTGCATTTTATTCCTTTTTCAAGTTCAGGCCGAAATGCAGCAAGCTAATTTATTTCTATTTGCCGGCTGCCGAGCTAGCTACTTTTGTCTTGTGAACCATCTCCATCATGTCCATGGAAAACAAGCCTGTGGACGGTATTTTAATACGGCCATGTTTCCTGATAATGATATTTATGAATTGGATTATATTTTTTTTTCAACTATATTTAGTTTTCTCTAGAACATCTTTTTGAAAGATAGTTGTGCTAGAGTTTTATTGCTTTCAACTGAATAGACTTCCTCTCTTTTTAGTCTATACTAGAGTAGTTACTATTAGAGAGACTGCTTCTCGCGGCAGTTCGACAATCTCAACTTCCCTTCAATCTTCCCAGAACCTCTCCAACGAATATGAAGCCTGATTTGCCTGTAGACATAATAATTTACCCTAAATTGAAATAATTAATATTATCCCATTGGATTTGAAAGATAGTTGTGCTAGAGTTTTATTGCTTTCAACTGAATAGACTTCCTCTCTCTTTAGTCTCTACTAGAGTAGTTACTATTAGAGAGACTGCTTCTCGCGGCAGTTCGACAATCTCAACTTCCCTTCAATCTTCCCAGAACCTCTCCAACGAATATGAAGCCTGATTTGCCTGTAGACATATAATAATTTACCCAAATTGAAATAATTAATATTATCCCATTGGATTTACTTTTCTAATTTCAAGCATACTTTTTTGGAAATCAGGTTTTTATCATCCCGACGAAAAAATTGTTCTGGGTGTTTTTATCTTTTCTGCGAGGTTTTGTCTTTTTTTAAGTTAGAGTTGAATGCAAACTAAATGGCTACACATCGAAACTGATATACGTTGCAGTCGGATTCGCTGTACTTGATATACCTGTAATGGGTTCAGAATCAGGGTTGAACATTTTCATATATATAAAATCATGGGTGTTTGTAATAACGGTTTACTGCGTGGGATCGAACGTAGTTTCCTTTAGGCTTCGTCTTTTCCTGGCCATTTCTAGAGAGAAGCGTTCGTAGCCGAGAGCTGTGATAGACCTGCTACCTATTGGCCTTCTTGGCTGCTACTCTCCGCCAGGAGAGAAAGATACAATAGTTCTAGTGTCAGCTACTAAGGAGAAGAAGAAAGCTACAACCAATAGGTGTAGGGTGGGAGGCGCGATTTTTAGGCAGCCTTCATTAAGTATATATATATATCTGTTCCAACATATCATAGCTTTTTGAATTTAACAAGATAAGCTGTCCACGCTGTCGAAGCAAAACAACATTTTGGGGCTCACGATTCTAGCAAAGGCCAAAAACTCAACTTAAAGAAAGCATTTTTAGCATAAATACGCTACAATCACTACCAAATTGGAACAATCATGCTATACGTGTGCTGCGCGATGGTTTTAATGCAGCGTAGAAAGCAATAGAGACGATGTCCACTGTAGAGGTGGCGGTCCAATTTTGGTCGTCAGGTGAATGTAGAATCTGTTGTGTTCATTCGTGCCCAACAGTGATTGTGCGCAATGATAAGGGTAACTGCACTGCAGCGATTGATGCTTCTCTAACGTGCCTTCATGGTCCTTGGCGGCTGGTGGTGGACCTGTGTTTGAAGATACTTCAAGCAACAGACAACTCAATGAATAGTTTGAGATCAAATAAGTTTTCAAGGAGAAAGAGGCCGGTAAAAGACTACTAGAGGTCAACCCTGTCGCTGAAAGAGCGTAAGTGTGTGCGTGTAAGGAATTTTATAATCGAATGGTCAGAGATGGAAGAGCATGACCGTCCCATCCTTCGCTGCTTTAAGGAGTTAACTAGTATTAAATGACAAAGCCACATACGCAATGGGCTAAAAAATAACCATTTGGAGCTTAATATGGCTGAGATTCTGGCATAACTCATAGTTGAGTATCACTTCAACGATACATGATGTGCATCTCAGCTCCTATAGTAATGATGCTGATGATAATATTCGTGTCGTTTTGTACATCATTCGGCAGGTAACTTCTACTGAGACACGACTTGATGCCGCAAACATAATTTACGGATGTCACTGACTAACTTGTGGGTTGCAGCAGGGTTTGCAAACTTGAGAATCTGTTTGTGTATGGAAAAGCCGTATTATTCATTTAAAAACGACGGGAACAGATTCGAATGTTGGCAGTGAGTCGATATAAAAGAAGATATCCGACTGGCTCTTTCATTATAGCAAATGCACAACATAAAACATATTGAGCTTCGAGTCACCTTACACGTCTCTAGGAAAATGCCTTGTTTCAATTCTCCCTTATATGCGAACACTATTTACTGAAACTGTAGTTCCGGGGCTAGCCGGGCAGTTGGAATCCTGCACCTAGCAGGACAGGACAGTGCTGGAGTAATGGTTCGTAATTAGTAAGAACCAATCAGATCTTAGGTCCAGGAGTAATCCCTTAAATAGGACTAGCCGCCCTACTTAATGGTTCACTATACAGCAGGTGTCACACCTGCTGCATACTTGAGGAACAGGCAGCCCTGAGAGGGGTTCAGAGTTACGCTAGGTTACAGTTGATACGTCATTGCTAATATCTAGTATAGTTAAAGAAAGGAACCAGTGTAATCATATAACCTCGAACTACAACTAAACTAGCCCTGTCGGCATCAACTAAAGAACAGGACAACTTCACATTGGTAGTTTTTTTTTTTGAACAGAACATTAAGTTTTCTTTTTCTCGACAGAACGTTAAGTTTTATTTTTGGTTACAACAATAATCCGTTGGTGAAGATGTCCAATTCCAACGATGTTCCTCCGAGGGTATACATGGGGGCCAAGCAAACCCCAATTGGGGTGTTCTGGCGGCCTTGGAGTAAGTTTAAGAGGGGAAAGGTCTGCTCGCAAGCAGCCAATGGGCCAACACCGAAACAAGCTCTGGTTGAAGTATTTAGACCAATCGGTGTTGATGACCCAGGGGTACAGGAGGTAGAGCGGGTGTTGCTTGATAACTTTTAGGCGCCATCTTATTTATTTGCGCCCGGTTATACGGTAGACTTGCACGCGAAAGCAGCAGAGATGAGTGAGTCATCAGCATCGGCGGCTTGGAGGCGAGCTGTGATGCTAACGGAACTCGCCGAATATTTAGTAGGGCGTAACATTTACGCTACGGAGACAACATTGAACCCCCAGAGTAGCGCGCAGAAAGCGTTACGACAAGCTCCGATGAAACTCAGCATGCTGGATGCTGAAGCTTCGGGTATGACGCCGATAGAGATTTATCAGGCGAACCTCCGCATGCAAGCACAAATGCCGGGCCATCGCAGGCAATCAGGCTAACTACACCGCTTTGGCTAAGTGGGGGGCTCAACGGACGCCCAGCCAAATTGATTCACATAGATGACGATGGACAGGAGTGGTATGCGGATGGGGACTTGGATATACAACCTTTTATTCAGAAACTCACGCAGGTGAACGATCGTTTACAGGCTTTGAAAGATGCTGAACAACAGGAGGACAGCGATCAAGCAGCGCGACAGAGAGTGCACAAGCGGTCCAGAACGACGCAACAAGAACAATCGAGGATTAGCCAGCGAGATAGCGGAGGAGATACAACTGTCACGGAACGTCAAGGATCTCCGCAACATTCTTCGCCCTAGCTCGAGGGACAATAGTAGACGGCAGAGTGCAGCAGAGGGATGAGTTCATGTGTCCGGAAGATGCGGCACCAGATATGGAGATGATAAA